CCCACCTCCACCTCTTGGACTACTCTTTAACCAACCAATAGTAGAATTAAACATTACATTGTAACGCCCCCCACGGCTGAAAGAGCGAGCATTTTCAGTGAAGGGGCTTCGAACCTGCGATCCGCAGATTGCGAGTCGAGCACCCTAACTACCAGGCCTTTGAAATCCTTGATTGATTACAATTACAAAAGCTTATTAAATCCCAATAATAATGGATCCTTCGAAAGAAACTTCCAAAAATATGCTCCCAGTGGCACAGCGGTATGTCTGCGGACTTACAACGCTAGAAACCGGGTTTCGATACCCGTGGTTGGCAGAGCACAGACAGCCCATTGTGTAGCTTTGTGCTTAACTTCAAACAAACAAACAAATCCAAAAATATAACAACACTTTGAATCAATAGCCTAGTGGAAAAAATTAGAACGTTTAAAACAAGAGTAGCTTTATTCAAGAAATAATGTTGTGTTTAGAGCTATGATGGATTCAAAACCTTATTCCATGCGCAGTAACTTCACAGCTACTTTTTTGTATCATAAACACTACATTACGCTTGAAAAAACTTTTACCAGTTTTTATTATTTGACGGCCCGGTATGGCCAGATGGTTAGGGCGTTCGACTCTCAATCTGAGGGTCGCGGGTTCGAATCCCCGTCCCACCAAACATGCTCGCCCTTTCAGCCGTGGGGGCGTTATAATGTGACGGTCAATCCCACTATTCGTTGGTAAAAGAGTAGCCCAGGAGTTGGCGGTGGGTGGTGATGACTAGCTGCCTTCCCTATAGTCTTTCACTGCTTAATTGGAGACGGCTAGCGCAGATAGCCCTCGTGTAGCTTTGCGCGAAATTAAAAAAAAACAAACAAACAATCTTATTATTGTTAACTTTAGTTAACGCAAACTGGAGTTTATTATGAGATGTTTCTATAATCGTAAATAAAATCACGACCTATATCTCCAGAATGTATTAGGCTTAATATTTCGCTATTACAGCTTCGTCAGGAACTATCGATACAGTTCTCGTATTTCCCAATGCATTAAAATCCTGATTATACTTCATAAAATAGACGTATCAGTATAGCCCACGTGGAGACCCCGTTCTGGATACTATAATAAGTTAATATTATTATTATCTATTTCTTCTGCGAGACACAAGTAATTTAAAAGCATTTATTTTGTTCAAGAAAGACTGATTCCGCAGAGTAAAAAAATAGTTCCTTTAATTTTTATTGGAGCTTTTTTTTTACCAAACAATGTGTTCAGAACTTACTATTTATTACTAGCTGTATCTTCTATCACGCCCCCAGTAGCACAGCGGTATGTCTGCGGACTTACAACGCTAGAATCCGGGTTTCGATACCCGTGGTGGGCAGAGCACAGATAGCCCATTGTGTAGCTTTGTGCTTAATTACAAATAAACAATAAACAATCTTCTATCACACAGTCAATACTCTGTTTTGTAACGTGCAGTCAACACTTTACATAATGTAGTTTACACTTTATAATCTAAACACTCCATTACAACATTCTAGAACTGTATTGGAAGCATCCACTACTATTTGGTCTGTATTTTATCATTATAAGTTAAACCTTTAATTTATATTCGTCCTATCTTTTAAACATAATAATAATGTGCTACAGGTTGTGCTATGGTGTTTGTACGAAGCCTATTTTTGTTGTTATTGTTGTTTTTTAATCTGTTTGAGCTGTTTGACAGTAGTTTGGACCCGGCATGGCCAGGTGGTTAGGGCGCTCGACTCCCAATCTGCGGGTCGCGGGTTCGAAACCCCGTCACATCAAACATACTCGCCCTTTCAGCCGTGGGGGCGTTATAGTGTGACGGTCAATCCACTATTCGTTGGTAAAAGAATAGCCCAAGAGTTGGCGGTGGGTGGTGATGGTTAGTTGCCTTCCCTCTAGTCTTTCACTGCTTAATTAGGGACGGCTAGCGTAGATAGCCCTCGTGTAGCTTTGCGCGAAATTTATAACAAACAAACAAAGTAATATCGATTCGTTATGTTTGTTTGTTTGTTTTTAATTATGCACAAAGCTACACAAGGGCTGTCTGTGCTCTGCCCACCACGGGTATCGAAACCCGGTTTCTAGCGTTGTAAGTCCGCAGCCATACCGCTGTGCCACTGGGGGGCGATTCGTTATGGCTCACGTTCCAATGTAATTAGTTTGGATTGCATTATATTGTTTTTACTTGGTATATTTCGAACGCTACAAGCTGTGGATTTACTTTTCAATTTTTTTGTAATTTTTTTAAAGTGTGATTAGTAATTATCTGAATCTGTTCTATGAAATTTATAAAGCGTTTGTAACAACAACAAAACTTAACCTGATTTAATGTTGTGTTAAGATTAAAGGGCTAAGACCTTTTTACTATAGAGTTATGCTTGTTACTATGAGATTTAAGGCTGTGACATTAATGGCTGAATCATAGTCGTGTTTTTTACTCTGACGTTATTGTAACATTAAAGGCTATGATAATATTTATTTAACCTTGCTGCCCTCTAGCGTAATTCTAAGAACCCATGTGTCAAATTAAAGGAGAATATGACATAATATGTCAACCGCACGATATCTGCCGTATATAGTGCCGATGAGTCCGTTCGTTCTATTCCAGAGCTCATCAGGCTGGCTGGGACATAGTAATGGTGTAGAATATCCTCAATTTTCATTAACAACAACTATTAGGGTTTGAATCAGATTACGCATCTGAAATGTAATTATTATCAATTGATATTTAAATCATTTACCAATAAGCTTTTAGGTAAAAATTAATAACAAAAACTTTTTAACACTGGTTATTTATATTTGATTATTATTATTTTTCGTTATATTTGAATTAACTTTCCTGTCATTGACAAGAACTAGCGAACCAGGAAGATAGTCTTCTAGCTAACGTTAAGGTTTGGGTATTTGATTTGTTTAGAATTTCGCGCAAAGCTACACGAGTGCTATCTGCGCTAGCCGTCCCTAATTTTAAAGTGATAGACTAGTGGGAAGGCAACTAGTCAATACCGCCCACCGCCAACTCTTGAGCTACTCTTTGCTTGGTGTGATGGAACTTCGAACCCGCGACCCACAGATTGTGAGTCGGCCGCCCTAACCACAGGCCATGCTAGGCCTAACGTTAAGGATTGCATGATTAATACCTAACAATTTAGTGTAGAATATCCTTCTTGCGAAATAAAATTTGACATTAACATTATTCATGCCTGTTCTCACGTCATTTCAAAAGTGAATCTTGAGCTTTGCCTGCGTCCGCAGCTTTTCAAACGGAAGGCAAACGAACTCTCGGACAGACACCGCGGTTCGCAATATATATATAAGATCGGGATCCAATCGTGGTAGGTATTTAGGTTTAATAACCCAGGGGTGGTCAGAAATTAAAGTTATTTCTCTTCGCCCCTTTCTCAGCATGTATATAAAGTTAGAGTTTGTTGTGAGTAAAGTTCGGGGAACGAGTTATGACTTCCGTGGAATTTTTATTATACTTTGGTCACTCGCCGTGGTCAAGCGAGAGGATAGGTCAAGAAGAAGACAGAAAATGTGTACAAGATGGTTTGTTACTGCCATTAAAAGAATGAGTTATGACTTCCGTGGAATTTTTATTATACTTTGGTCACTCGCCGTGGTCAAGCGAGAGGATAGGTCAAGAAGAAGACAGAAAATGTGTACAAGATGGTTTGTTACTGGCATTAAAAGCTATACATTT